ACCGACCGACCGCCCGACGGACTGACAGACCGGGATGCTGGCGTACCGACCGACGCACCGACTGACCGACTGACTGACTGACTGACCACCCTGTTGTCTCACCGACCGTCTGACTGGACTGACCGACTGACTGACTGATTGCCTGGCTGGCTGGCTGACCGACTGACTGACTGACTAACTGACTGACCGCTCAGTTGGCTAACCGACGGACTGACTGACGACTCCTGTTTGGACGACCGAATGACTCACTGACTGACTGACTGACCGCCCCGTTGGCTGATCGACTTATGGACTCACATGCCCACTGAACCGAAAACCAAAAAAAATACCCAAAAAAAAACAAAACAAATACCCAAAAAGAACCCCCACCCCGTCCACAAGGTGCTCGGTGATGGGCTCGTCGGGGGTCAGCTTGCTGCGCGCGAAGTTCATCACAGACTTGTCGGGGGCCAGGCACAAGTTAACACCATAGCCCTGGGTTCCCCAAAGGTAACCGACCAGGTGCTTCATCAACTTCATCGCCTTGGCTGTTGGCTTGGCCGTCCGGGAGGAAAGGTTCTGGATAACCGCTTGGGCGTCCGGCCGCTCGTTGCTCATATAGAGCACCTTTCCCAACATAGTCCTGTAGGCTGTGGCCTCGCGCGGGTTCAGCTCCTCAGTGGCGTCGGTGGCGAACATATCGTCTTGGCCGCTTGGTCCGGGGGTTGCTTTCACCTTGGGTCGGCCGGCCAGCTCGAAGAGGTCGTTGTACAGCCGCACCGGGGCCCGAACAGTGATGGAACCATCGCTCTGGATCTGGTACCGTCGCTTGAGAAACTCGAACTCGTCCCCGCCGGCGCCGGGCTGCTGGTAGGGGCCGGCAATCTTCACGGTGTACCGGTCCGTAAGGTTCTTCTCCACCTGGCCGTGGGGCTCAGCATCCCCGGTGGCCATAATATCATCCACGTGCACCTGTGCCACATAGCGCTCCTCCTTGCCATTGGCTCTGTAAAGAGTTGGCACCTCTGGCATGGATTCCAGGCTGGCGTTGTTGAGGTCGCCGGCCAGCTGGTGATACCATTCTGGGCGCCTCGCCGCTGTCCCGGCAGTACTCGCCCAAGCTTCCAGGTCTTGCTCGCACCGAACTTGTTCACGTAGGACCGGGCCGTCACAACCACAGGCTCGTCCTCCGGCTGGGGAACACACAGGTAGGCGTCCTTGACGTCCATGATGTAGATCGGGGTGCCCCACTTCTGGGCCAGAAGCGGCACCAAACGCGCCAAGGTACTCACACTCCCTGGGCTGAAGGTGTCCTCCTCGAGCATATCCGAGGCCCAGCGGTACTGCCTGGCCACCAGCCGGGCTCTCCTGAACCATCCATCGGGTCCTTTCTTCCAGGTCTTCACAAAGACTGTGCTGAGATGCTCGGCTTGCTCCTGGGGTCCGGCTCCATAAGCACGTTCATGCCTTCCAGGCGGGTGAGCTCCTCGATCTCAGCCTGGTCGTCCAGCTCTGCAAGGTCCTCGGGGCTAAGGTCGGGCGGCTCTTCGCCCTCAAAGTCCTCGGCGTCCCCGTAGGCGGTGGTCTCCCAGGCCTCGTGCCACGAAGCGTCCACGGTTTCCACCATACGCACCGCGAACTCCCCTTCGGCATCCATGGCCTCATCGGGGGCAGGCTGGTGAATCACTTCGGCGGGCTCTGTTGTGGCATCCTCGCCGCCTCCCCCGCTCATCTCCTCGGCCTTGCGCTTGGTCGCTGGGCTGTCTCCGGGTCCTTGTCCACTGCTCCGGGCTCGGTCGGGGCGCTCAGTTGGAGACACAGACCGCGGCGAAAATGACGGCGAAAACGACGGGCTCCTCGATGGGCTCCTGGCTCTCGACGGGCTTGGTCTTGCACTCCGCGACGGGCTTCTCAAAGGCGCCACGTCCTTCGGGTCGGCTGGGCGCAGCTCCTCTGAACTGTCGGTGTCGGCCTCTTTGCCCTTGGCTGCTGCCTCGACCGCTTGGGCCTCGTTGTCCTCCTCTGGCAGAAGAGGGGCACCAAGAGGCAGCTGAACTCCTGCTTCAAGTGTTGGGGCTGCTTCGGCTCGTCGTGGCTCCTTCTTGCGCCGCCTGGGCTGCTCCACGTGGTCTCGGTTCCAGGGCCAACCAGTGATGCACATGTCCTCCACCTGGTTCGCTGTTAGCTGCTGCTCCTCGGTGGCCCGGCGCACGCTCTCGCTCTGGATGTAGGTGGTCATCAAATGGTTCGCCCCGGAGGTGGTGCTCATACCAACCCATAGGCCTTTAATCCACCTGGGCTCGCCCTTGTGTGTCCGGAAGACCTGTCCAAAAACGGTTTCCCCAAAAACGCAAAGGGCCTTGTTGAACTTCCGGCCGCCATACGCCAACTCGTAGGGGGTCTGCAGGACTCCGGGCAGCACGTGGAACCGGTTGTAAAGGAAGGCCCCGCAGTCCGGCCCTGTGGAGCCCATTGTGCGCCGCTTCTGGGACCTCCTTATGTACGCCATTGCACTCAATGACGGGGCGCATCTCCTGCATCTCAGAAAAGCTGCGGAGAAGTTTCTCAGCATTGCATTGGCTACGCCATCGGATCGCAACATGCGCCCTCCGTCACTACAGGAGATTGTGGAGGCGGACCGGGCTCTCTGGCTGGGGGTTGCTTCCATTCAAGCGGACCAGGGTTGGTCACTTACCGACGCATTGGCGGAGATGACTTTTGCTCGTCCGGATGTTTACAGTGCCTTGGCCCCTAGGTTGAAGCCCCACACACCACCGGTACCTCCCGCTGCATCAGGGGCCAATAAGCGCAAGCAGCCTGTCTTGCCGCCTCCCCCACTGCACAAGCAGGCCCGTCCTGCTAAGG